GCGCTGCCACAGAAGCATCTGCAGTTGGTGTGTGCTCTTCCTGGATGGAATGAATAGTAAAGTAGCCAGAGGCTGGGCTGGTATGTATGCAAGAGAGGCAGTCAATGAAGATGTAAATTGAGGAGTCAGTGGGTGAGAGACAGGCCAGTGGTGAAGGGGAATGAACGTAGCTGGTAAATAGTGGAGAGGTACCTGGGGACTCATGTCAGGCAGGTTGTAATGTGTCATAAATCCAATGTCTATATTTAGTCCATGACTTTTTGTATCCAGGAGGTTGATGAAGTGAAGTTCATAGGCTCGTCTGTGAAAAGTATTTTGTGAATTATCTTTGATTAGGTTCTTATCTGTTGTGTGTCTGGTTTCCACAAACATATGACTAATTGAGATTTACTATCACAGATGTTTGTGAAAAATATAGTATAAATTTACATTATTCCAACTCTGTGCACTTATCCACTCAGAATGGAAATAGCATCACATACCTTTTCTGACAAGTTATAATTAACTGGCATCTCTTGAATATCAGATACTTGAAAAGAACTGTTTGTGATTAGGCTTTCACACAGTAGAAATCAGCCAACTAAGTCTTCTGCTTATTTTAAATTTTTTATTTGTTGCTCTAGGGGAAAAAAGTCATTGCTCCATCATGCCCTGTACTAGCTTGCTCTGAGTAACTGAATCTCCTTAGGGCAAAGAATTATGCCATCTTATTTGCACCAAGAGGCACTTTGCACTCTTATGGGCACAGTTTGAAAAGAATTCATGCATAAATTTTGAGTGCATTGTACAGAAAATTTGATTAAATTAGGATCTATTCTACCATGAGACAGAAAAAGGGGTCAATATTCATTCGGATAAATTATTAATTAAAAATAATAAATGTATATAAATTATTTTATATGAATAAATAATAGCAAAATAACTCTTGTTAGCTTTAACTGGCACTTTTATTTGGTAGTTTTTGTAAGAGGCTCAAGCTGAGACCTTGGTATTGAAAAGCACTTTGGTCATAATCTAGTACCTTCATGAACATGAAAAATCCTACTGACTTCTGTGCAATTACTCACCCATATAACATTAAACATCTACATAATTTTTACAGGATTGTGCCTTATACCAGAAACTGAGGTGAAGATGGCAAAAAAAAAAAGCCGTTAGAATGACTGAATTTTTTGTGCATAGCAGGAGTAAAGGATAGCTTTAAATGACCTGTATTCTCTCTTCCCTCTTCATATCTTCTCTTTCCTCCCCCATATCAGGCTTCTTTGATACTTGTCCTCTTAAGGTAAAAAAAAGAAAAGAAATAGGAACCTTTGTCTACTTGCCTATTCAACTTCTTCAACACAGCTAGTCTACTTAGCTGCAGCTGAGCTTGTAGAGGAAAGCAACATTTGCCTTTTGAAGTCCCTTTGCTTGCATTACAGTGAGACTTCAAAGAATAACTAGATCATCCACTGCCAGAAAATGCATGCTGTAGGGGCTTGGAAAAGGGAAGTGGGGACTAAGACAGTTACAGGTCTAAATATCTTTTCAGAAAAGCCTGTGGTATTTTCAGGGAAAATCCATGCACATTATTAAAAAAAAAAAAAAAGCCCTTTTAAATTAAAGAATATAAGGAAAGAGACTAGAAAAAGGAATTTGTTTGGGAATATTATTATCAGAAACTCAAAAAGGAGAGTTAAAGCGAAACTAGAATTCAACATTCCCTGCCCTTCCTTCTGCCTAAGATTTTTTGATGTGGACCCTCTAGATGCCTATGACAATATAAATTACCTGAAAATATATTATGATTAGTATTTAGATTTCTATCATGTTAGCCCTAGCACAATACAAATAAATAATAAACTCATAATAATTAATAATAATTAAATCAGTGAAAGCATTGTCTCTCTCTCTGTCTCTCTCTCCCCCTGTTGGGTCTTGCATATATAACCCTGATTTTTTGGAGTCTAGATTATTTGTTCCCTGCAAGTGCTAGATACTTCTTCTGAATTTGAAACTGAAATAAATAATTACCATACAAAAGAAGCTTTGCTGTATATCATACCACTACTCGGGTGCCCAGGGCTGGTGCAAATCAGTATAGTTCTACTGATGTTACCAGATGCAAGTTTGCATTGAGTAGCTCCATTGATGTAAGTCAGCACTGAATGAATGTGTTGACAGTCCTCAGTCTCATCAATCTTTGCTTAGCTGATACAAAACTGAATTTCACTCTTCAAAGAATCGGAGTATAATTAAGATAAACACTGATCCTAAAGCCAACAAGCCCACTCTTCCTACTGCACAAACCTATTGCACAATTTTATTATTACTCATAGCTGTGCGCAATATCAGAACCATTCAGTGAGAAGATTTTGAACTTTTGAAGATAATCTCCTGATTGTTTAAAGAGAGATTAAATCAGCAGTTGACAATAACTAAATACTTTAGCTGGCAATAAGCAAAAGATGCACAACCGTCCCCAGATTGGTTTGATTTGTGAATTCTCAGATATCAGATTTCTACTACTTGCCTTGTTCTGTAATATTTCCACCATTTCTTAGATGGAGCTGGTTTTGAGAATTGTACCTGATCTGATATAAAAGATTAATTCACTGCTTTTTCTGTTATTTAAAAACCCCATAGATCAGTTCAGTTGTCAAAAAAGTGAAACATGGAACAAACCTGAGACAATAAGTATGAAACTGTCTCCACATAAATCCGTCAATGTGTTTTAATCTTAGCCTGACACTCCTCCACTGCTAATCTTGGCAATAACATGGTACTTTTGTTATGTGGAAAATCTTCTTCCATTTCTTCGCACGGCTAGTTTCATTGAAGTTGGCAAGATGACTTGGCTCTGGAACAGAATATCCATATTCAGACACTAAAGGATTTGGTTCAAAAGTTATGTCTTCTTATGCAGGCACAGTGCTCCACAAAGTAAGGCCTAATCCTGACTAGATACTTTGCGTGCAGCCACAGTTCAAATTATAGCTTAGGTTCTCAAATGGTGTAAGTGGATATAGCTTATTTGTCTTGCTAAAATGATTTATACCAGCTGGGGATCTGGGCCAGTATGAACACTGAATGCTCTAAACCAAAGGTTCAGTCTAGGCTAACTCATTAATCCTCTGTTCCCTCAAAAATTCACATCCCTGAACTTCTTTATTTTCTGACCATATTTGTTAAAGTTTTGCAATAGTAAACCATCATAGGAACCCAAGGTTATTACATTTCATAACTCTCAATTTCTTAAATCTTGTTTTTCAGGGAGATAATTTAATTACAGAATGTCGCTACAATACTACAGATCGAATTCATATGACATGGGTAAGAAATATTGCAGATAAATTGATAACAAGGATAGATTTCTTTGAAATAGGCTTGTAAATAATTTCATTTTATTTGGAAGCAAAATAGGTTTGAATTTTAAAGAGTATGATATGGGTGAAGGGCATTAAGGCTATTTGCTAATTTATACAGAAATTAGTGCATGCAATTTCATGTTTTCTAATAGTAACTGAACAGCAAGATAGTCTTTCAGAAGCTGATCTTCCATGGATCCATGGGTTTTTAAAGCCATGAGGAACCATCTCTAGCCTGACCTCTTCCATAACAAATTTATATGAATAAAATATTAAAAGAGATTAGGTTTTTTAAAGGTTCCTAAAAATCAGAATTGCACAGTCTATCAGTGTTTCTGATTGCATCATATTTTTAAGATGCAAAATATAGATATTCTATCAAATTATTTGTATGAGCATATTAGGTTGTTAGCTTCTCTCTGCCTCAAAATTCTGGTTTAATCAGTATATTTATTAAACATCTATGCATTGGAGTAGGTTGATGTGCAGCAGATGAATATGTGCACTTGTGTGCATGCAACAGTTATGTTTTTGGCTCTTTATTCCTTAGAATAAGAAACAATTTCAGGACTAAATATCATAGCCCTTACTAAAGCCATCTTCAGGCAAAACATACGTACATGTATCAGCACATCTGAATAATCTTTTGCTTGCATTTGCATTTGCTGCACACAGTACAATGGTGGGAAATATTTGGAAATGGCATAATATTTTATTACTAGGGTAATCACTAATCTTAAAGTAAAATATGGCTGCCTAACTACCAGGTCTATGTATTGCTGAAAAATGCTTGTGCTTGTAAATGCCTAATTAATATGAGGCAAATTCTCAAGTCTTTACTTAGTCATTCCTCAGGCAAAACACTCAATGACTGGCCTGAATAAGGAGTTTGACTCACAGTACTTAGATAATTAAGATTGTATATACCTGTAGGAGCTACATTGTCTTGGTACTTTGGCTGTTGTCTTCTGAGTCTGTTTGCTGCTCAGCATAGTAATAAAATATTGTACTTGGCTCAAACATGTATAATGCAAAGTAGAATGAATTTGTAGAAATACCACGCAGGACCCTATTTCTGCAAAAGTTTCCCCACAGGTTTAGTTTCCCGTGGTCTCAATAGTCCTATTAGCATGAGCACTTGAGTGTATTGATTGAATTGGAGACCAGATATGGCCAATGTATATAAAAGTGAAGACCTTTCCCTTCTGCAAAACTATTAGGTAGTTCCAGGTAGATGTCTTTGTGAGGCATATTGACTCAGGGAGGCTGGTCATTCTATCTTCCAATTACATGAATAACATTCTGTGTTTTATGAGCTCTGGCAGAGGGATCTGAAAACTAAGGTATGACAGGAAGTCTATTGGTAGCCTGAGTCCTCAGCCAGAGAAAGAGAGGGGCTAGAGAATTGTTCAGTGAGCTTTCCACTGTACATAGCTACTGCAAAATCTGAAGCATTAGGACCAGCATGACCATATTTCTGCAAATGCCCATCTACCTACTTCTGACACTGGCCCCTCCCTGATAAGAGTCAGAATGAGTCAGAAACTATTTGAAACTCAAGGAGCTGAATGCCTGTGTATAGAGGAAGGTCCTAGTTAGAGTACTCCACACACCATATGGACATTAGGGGAGCATACCAACGAGCATGCATGTGTAGTGTAGTTTGTAGAATTGAAAACTGCACGTGTCACATGTGCAGACATTTACTGCAGTGCAAATTAACAGCCTGGTGGGTCTTTGTGACACCGGAAGATCCCAGTTGTCAAGAAAAAAAATGGTGCTAAAAAAAGTGATGCAGCGCATGTGGCAGGAGTGTGTGCTGCCAGAAATGGAGCCTGAGCAGCCAGAGCCATGCTCTGGCTGCCAGCCAGGCTCCAAGTGGCCAGTATGACAACACTGCGGGCCCAGGAGGCCCTCAGAACCCCAGGTAAGGCTGCTGGGGCCAGCCCAGGTGCTGGCCCTAGCCTGCCCTATCCCACCCAGGACAAGTTGCCATGCACTGAAGTGCGCATGCAGGGGCATGGCCCAGAACAAATAGCAGTGGCACAAATATGTGCTACTGCTATTTGTTCTGCAGGGAACACGTGCCACTGCACATGCACACTCGTTAGGATGCGCCTTAGGACACTGATGTGAAAAAATGGCTGACCCGATCTAACTAAAGTATATTTGTGGTGAGAATATAAATCATTAGACCAAACTGTAATTTAAAAAAAAAAAAATTCTTCCTTTTTTTCTGCATTTTGCTCAACTAACCTACTATGCTATATTATATTGTACAAATAGTAATAATGCACACTTGGAGCCATAGGAAGTTGAATACTGGTATGGAATTACACCATTACTATTTTTCTTACTTCCCAAAGTTGGTTTAGGGCTCTAAAAATCAGCCAAAGAGAAAAAGCTAAAAACCACCCCCAAAAACCCAACAAACCAAAAACACAGGACACACTGTAGTACTGTTGACCCTTGCACAGAATTGAATCTGTCAATATTTTGTTGTTGTTGTTTATCAGCTATAGACAACAAATCAGGATTTAATTATTCAGTTCTGGCATACTTTAAGGTTGGCTTATGGAATCACCTGCAGGGAGAAGTCCTGTTTACTTTGCTCCCCCTGTGTACTACCTGGTGACAACCTGTTAGGTTTTTTTCAGTTCAAGTTTGGCTCATTCTGCAAAATTAGTAGAACTTCTTGCAAATAGAATTCAGGAATTTAGGACATGTGATTGAAAATCACCACAAAGGCTTTCCATTGACCTAATATTATATAAATTGTAAATGATGTACACATAAAAGACAACTCAGATTACTGTCTGTCCAGCACAGCTGAGGCCAAATACCTCCAACAATTACATGCTGTTAGTTGCTCTTGTTATCATTTATTTTTTATATCTTAAAATACATTATATGAGCATTTTTTGTTACAGATTCTTTGTCCCTTGATAATTGAATATGTAGTTATTCTGTCAAATTGGTCCGCTATTTTCTTTGTTTCTATGTTGTTTACAAGTCAGTCTTAATTAGTTAATATTAATCACTTTCTTTATCTACAATATTTGAAACCCACATTGCTAAAACATCTCCATTTTAGGGTGGTCTGAGCACCAGAAATGAAATGTGCCTGTCCTATCTGGTATACTACCCAAGAATCAATCTGACACGATGTGCAAGTATTCCAGACATAATGGAGCAACTCTACTTTATTGGTGTTAAGGAAATATATAAACCAGTCAGGTAAGTGAGGAAAATAGAAATAGAAGAGAACTTATATTTTTATTCATGTATTGGTTCATTTGGGGTTGCAAAATATTTGAACAAAATGTATCCTATGATTAGGATGAAAACGTTTGTTTTTTTTATTTTTTCAATTAAAAATGATTATTTTGAGTTGATCTATACTGGTTATTCTTGGTGGTGGTGATGGTGGTTTTGTTATTATTGTTATTATTTTGTTCAGTTGCCAAATTAAACAAAAAACAAAGCCCAATTATTCCCACAACTCTACTCTTAGGTTAAATGCATTCATCCCCACTAAAGAGAAGCCTGGGGAGGGGCCACCTTTTGCTGGCAAATATTAAAAAACAGGTAATTTTCTCAGTGCTTGTGGGCCTTTGTGTTAGGTTTCTGGTTAACTAGAGCAAACCAGAAGCTAATTACTGACATTAAAGTGGTATATTCCAAGTGTAACTGAGAGGGGAATCAAGCCCTAGAATGACTGCTGTCATCTAAAGATGGAACATTTTGGAGACAGTAGTGATAGGAAAGGATGATAGAGGAAGAGGCAGTTGGGTAAGAAAGACACAACCCAGTCATTTACACAAATCACCCTTCTAAGCTGCATTGCTGCTCAGCAACAGCAAGGAGAACACAGCTTGGCAGGCTTGTACTTGGAAAAAGTGTAATAACCCTGGTGCAAACAGACATTGTACTTATCCCAAGATAAACCATTTTCCTGGATTGGTGGCAGTAACAGTTTATCCTGAGAGATTGCAAAAAACATCTCTACATGCTAACTAAACCCTGATTAGAAAGGTGATGTGCATAGACACCAATCCCAGGACATTTTTTCTGGGACAAGTACAGGCACAACTTATCCAGGGAGAAATGCAAAGTCGCAGGTGCACACAGCCAAGTCACAGGTGCACACTGTGTCTGATGTGTATAGGATATACACCGGAGTTTATTGCCCTGTACTAACAGCATGTGTAAATGCACCCACTGTATGTTTGTGATGGAGAGAGAGAAGCAGCAGAAACACCAGAGAAGTGAAAAGAGAAACAGCAGACCTAGAGACGGACACACCAAATCCTTGGAGTGTGGGACTGAGAAAAGATACTTTTTCAGGGATAATTGATGGTTGAAAGAGGCTCAGGAGTGTGAGTAAGGAAACTGTCTCTGGCCTGCTTGATTCCCAAAGTGTTCAAGAAAACAGGATTTAGTACTTTTCCCTTAAATAACCAGGATTGCATCAGAGATACTTGAATCCATCATCAGTTTTTTCTTCTTAATGGAAACAACCCACAAGACCATGAATATTGGCTTGGGTCAAAAAGGGTAATATTTTATGGGGGGCTCTAACCACTTTGACAGTCCACAGAAATTCAAAGCACGACTGTAAAAAAAGTGTCAGCCTTTTAACAGCTAAGGACGTATAACAAACACCCTTAAGTTTCGTGGAATATTTAGGTGGCTTGAAATCCCTGTGGTAAACCACTGGGCAAATAAATTTACAGTGGGTGTGGTGCTCATAAGGTTAAAAGATGTATTGTGGTTTGGCCTTTAAAGTAGAAGAGCCCCTGCTAGCCTCCTGTTATGATTATCCTGAAAAAAAATCCCAAATGTTTCGCAACATAACTCTAGTTTTAGAAAGAAATTCTTTATAGGCAGCCACTCATCTTCATAATTAAGTTTCTAATTATTTTTTAAAATACAATAAAAAATACACATTAAAAAAGAAAAAACTCTTAATGGTTCTGACTGCCCCCATTGCCTTCAGTGGGACAGCTAGCAGAGGGAAACAATGCTCACTAGGAGCTGAAATGATAGTGTTAGACTCCCACGGTGCATCCAGATGAACACTGTCCCTGAGTGTGCACTGTGCTGTTTTTTTTTTCCCCCTGGGCTTTTTGACCCCTGGATATCCAGGGGGCAAACAAAACATGTGGAAAAAACCCTCCGGAGCAACACAGGCTCGGCCAATGCACACCGCTGAAAACCAGAACCGGGCTGCCTGGAGCTGCAAGCTGGGCTCTGCACAGCAGAATTGTCGCAGCTGCAGCCCCAGGAGGCTCCCAGGACCCCAGGTAAGGCTGCTGGGAGAACCTGCTGCAAACCAAAGCATATGTGGCATGGGCATTCCCCAGGGACTAGTAGCAGCGGTGCAAGATACGCCACTGCTACTTGTCCCTGGAGAACCAAATGTCCATGCATAGCTGGATTTACCCCCAGAGTCTAAACTAATCATATGTTTTCTTGCCAGGCTTGCCAACTGTCTGTACCAGACAGTAAGTAAAAATTCAGGCTAAAAACACCTATGAGTATCCACAAATAAATTTAAGTCTTCCATAAAAACAATTAAGCTCTAGCTGCTTTGTGAAAGAGGCTGAACAGCTGGAGCTTGATTGAAGCACAGAGTACTACCACCTGATTTGTGAGTGGCAGTGCACCATCCTACAGGAAGCCTTCTCTCAGTATTTTATAGATTTGTTGCACTCTGGCTGTGTGCTTCTGCTGCTTCACATCCTGTAACAGTGCTGAGTTGCAGTTAGGATTGTTTTGGGGTCTATGCTGGGATGGGTGGGGGACAGAGGGGGCAATAAAGCTGTCAGGGGGGAGCAGAATGGAGCAGTCAGGGATATCAGGGTGTGGGGTGAGTAGGGACCCCTGTCATGGGAGCAGCAGGGTGTAAAAGCATTGTTGCAGTCATACAGGCTTACCAGACCAAGACTTTTTTTACTGACAGTAAAAACCCAGGCCAATACAAATGTTTTTCTATCAGTAAAAAGTTTGCAGATTGTCCTTAAAAAAATATTTGGGTTGGCATCCTTGTTTCTAGCACAGTGTAATATTCAAATTTTTCAGAAGAGACAGAAGATTGTTAGACCCCAATGTGAGCACATTTTCTTAAATCAAGGAATAGCTATATTTTTTATAATTTAAATGTTCCTTTCAATATTAGGAATTCAGTCAGGAAGCTGAAAACCTGAAAGTGATTAAAAATCCAAAGTAAAAATGGTTCAGTTCAGTTATACTGCCAAAGTTGAGTGAACTGTAAAAAATAAACAAAGAATGAAAAATATAATGTATTATTGAATGATGGATGGTAAATGGTATTATTAATAATTAGTCTCAGTAAACTAAGTTACAAGAAAGGATTTATGTGATATGGTTTATAAATATGATTAATAGCCTAACAGTGATTCTATACATTTTGAAATGTGAAATGCCTGTATATAAAACATACAGTAGACTTTTTAAAATAAAGTATTATACAGCTGTTGTTCCAAAAAGCTTTGCTGTACAAAATGATTAAACCCAGTTCTAAAAACTGTCATGGGTGAAGAATATGATGGAACTAGAATGCAATACCTACTTCAGCTATTGTGTTGTTTCTGTTTATAATCCCTTTTGACTTTAGAGAAACACATTTTCTAATTTAACACTAGTAATCCAGATTTCTTAGCTTAAAAGGAAATATTCTAACAAATGAAGTGTGCTGTCTTGAATGTTCATTCATAATGACTATACTTAAGAAAGAAAATGCAGATTTTGCCTGAGGAAAAATTATGTTTTGAATAGACTACATATTCAGTGTCTGTCTGAACTGGCACTGTAATTAATGACATTATTAAAGCTCATAATATACATGATTTGATTTAATACACAGTTCTTTTTGCATTAAGTTGTATCAGGATGATGTATTTTACACCTGTTTTACATCGTCGTAATTCCACTGACTTTCCTGAAGTTATTCCAGATTTATAACAGTGAAATGACCCACAAAACTGACTGACTCTTTGTGCCTGATACTGATTATGTAGACAGTGTTGCAAATTAAGATGAGTACAAGTGAAATCACAGAATCACAAAAAAGTAGGGTTGGAAGAGACCTCAGGAGGTCACTTACTCTAACACCCAGCTCATGTCAGGATTATCACTATGTAATCTATTCTAGATGAGCGTATATCTTAAACATTTTGGGAACAAGCCTGCACATACTGCCTGAAACATCAAATGTACATTTCAATTTGCAACAGGTAAAGCAAGGGGAGGAGGACACTGCCACTGTCCTGCCAATTAAAATATACTCAAGATCCAAGGAAATGGACCATACCCCTGACTCCAAATCCCCCAGAATCTATGCCAGAGTGACTGTAGGGTACAATTCCTTCCTGATCCCAAATGTGGCTTTCGGTCTGACCCAGTGAGCAACACTACCTAGACAGACATATCTGGGTTTTTTAGGCCCAGCAGGAGGATTGGCAAAATCCGACCCTTGGCTGTGGCTAATGCAATCTGGAATGACTAGCTGGGTTACTTTTGGGCTAACAGGTGTGAGATTAGAATTTTACCTTCCACTTATGCTGTGAAATGAGAGTCTGGCATAGGTAAAAGGTAGGATACAAGTCTGACTAAAATATTTTAAAAAGATAAACTCCTGCCCCCATCCAAAGAGCAATTGGACATCAAGCTGGATTGAATAAAGTTTTGACCATAATCAATTCACCATTTGATTTGATGTTCCTTGACAATATAACGCCCAGTTCTGAAAATGAGGCATGCATATCTCTACCTTGATGCATGCCCATGTATCTCTACTCCTGTTCCTCCATTTACTTTCTGGTCTGCAGAAATTCCTAGGGAGTGCCAGAGGTTCCATGCCAAATAGTAGTCTTTGACCATACAGTCTGCCTCCCATCTGCCACTCACCTCCATCTGGTAACAAGTAGAATGCTTGACAGTGCAGTCAGGAGATGCCTTCTGCTCCTTAGCTTACCTGTCCTTTTTACTACCCCTTCAACAATTGCCTGGGTGACTGTATCAGCCAGTGCCAAAATTACAATGAGCTAGTTAGTGGATGTTGTATATCACTGTGGCAGCATATATGTTCCAATTCAGCTTACTGCCCATTCCAAATCTCCCTCCCTATACTTTTTAGGGACCATTCTTTTGAGATTTTGCTTTAGCACGTAGCTTCTTTCTCTTCTATATACATGAATGGCTCTTGCACTTCAGAGTAGAAGAATTCTACACAGGTTATTTTCTGATCTCAAAGAGGAAAGGGGATGAGGATGCTGTCCTGGACCTAAAAAATCGCAAACTCAAGTTCCTGATGGTTACACTAACCATTGTCACAGTATCTCCACAGAAGAAGGATTGATTTGCATCTGCTAACCTTCAGGATACCCATTTTCATATTGCAATTACACCCGCTCACAGAAAAGACCTCCAATTTGTGGACCAGTACCATTACCAGTATAGAGATCTTCAGACCAGATCTCTATATGGTCAGTCTTTTAACAGCCTTAAGAGTCTTCACCAAGGTGCTCTCAGGAGTAGCTCTGCATCTCAGAAGCAGAAGGTAGCAGCCTGTCCCTCCTCCTAGTGGATGTCAAAGAATGTGAGTTTTTGGGACATGTCAGGAACTAACAGAAGAGTAGAGAATTGGCCAAAGGCTTCTGCATTCTGACCATCTTTATTTGTTTCCTTTGGAGACCATTGCCATCTACTACATATTAGAGCAGTCTTTAGTTTTCTCTAAATTTACACTGTGACCAGGACTAGGTAGAGAATCAGGGAACTACTGACTGATGGTAACCAGTGCTTTGCATCAAGTGCTGGCACAATGTTGTATTAAGTGCAACATATTCTGTTATACTGAAAGATCTGGATTGGGTTTCTTTCCCTTGTTCCATTTGTAGAGTTTGTGGGTAGAAGCTGTGATAATTTTCTTTGTGCTTTTTATTGTAGAAAAATTGCCACTTCTTAGCTGATGTACCTTGTCATAAATCCATTGAAGTTAGTGGGGCTATCAGTTTACTTCAGCTGAAGAGCTGCCTTTGTGTGGGTGTCAGGTAGCATTCATGCATACATACATACATACACACACACAGACACACACAGTGTTGACTAATGGGGTATCAATAACTGTCAACATAAAATCTACACACAATAACGATAGAATCAAAGCCTAATGATCAATTTGTTTTCATGAAAGGGCTTTCCCAAAATTTGTCCTTACAAATTTCAATTTTGTGGTATGTTTTCTTATTATTCAGGACTTGGCCTTTCATTATCAAGAGTCCAAAGCAATATAAAAATCTCTCTTTCACGGATGCAATGAACAAGTTTAAATGGTCCAAATCAGAAGGTATCTCCTACAATGAGCTTGTACTTAGATTACCAGTGAATGTGAGATGTTCAAAGACTGATAATGCAGAATGGTCGGTAAGTCTTAGCATCCATTATCCCCCTGCTGCCTCCCCTACCAGACCTCTGATGACTTCTGGGGCCCCCACCAGAGCTAGGCATTCTCAGCTTGGTTGAGAGGGAGAGAAGTCTGGGGGATTTGGGTCTCAAAAGTTGGGATCCTAGCAGTGGGGAATCCTCCCTGCTCTTTCCTTCCTCCCTTCCCAGCCCTGCTGGCACCAGAGGAGGTTGCATCATTTTAAAATATTTCAGCTGGAGGAATGCCACAGGCATGGTATGTGCATCTCCTGGCTGAAACAATTGTTTTTTTAAAACATTCCCAAGTGTATTTCATTTGGAAATGTTCCAGTTGTTTTGTCTGTCCACACCCCTAAGCAATAACAATTTGTAATGGAACTGTTGGGATAGGTGGACAAGAAAATAGAAACACTGATTCTGATAGGATATGAAATCTGATCATTTTTAATATTTTTTTAAATTACAGATCCAGGGCATGACTGCAATACCTCCTAAAAAAGAGAAGCCATACAAGACTGAGCCAATAATATGCAACTCATCCTCTTGCTTACGCTGTAATGTCTTCCTTAGCCTGTTGTTCATTGCATGTGTCACAATATGTACCCTAGGGAAAAGGGGGCTCTTTGTATAATAATTTGTATTTGTGTGTTCTTTATGCCATGCAGGTTCTGATATGTTTGCACTGTTGCTATTGTAGATTTATTTTTTTACATATTAATAAACTAAATTGACTAGCTCAAAAAAAGGTGTTTACTTCATCTGAAACCTGTGTCTATTTGATTTTCAGTGTACAGTATGTATAAATAACAATAGGCACACTGGTCCAATAAATAGCTCAAATGGCTTCCCATACAGTTTTGTTACATCTTATACTGTCTTTTCACACAATGTTTCTATAAGCAGTTATGTATTTGGGAAAATTAATAAACTAAAACTGAATTAGCTAACCTTCATAGTGTGTGCTGTATTATTTTGTTTTGGTGGTTGCTGCAAACAACGTAGTTGCACAGTTTTTTGGATTGTTTTACTGCTTCTACGTGGGTAAAGTAAGGGGAAAGGTAGGTGGAAGGAAGCATACAGTATCATCACTTTTTTTGTCAAAAGCAAACCCTTAGAATTTCAGTATAGAAGGTTAATAATTTAAGTGGTATCATATGAACAGAGGATATTTCTATTTCACCTGCCCAAGAGAGACTAGTTGACTAATTTATGATGAATAACTACATTGTGATTTTTATTTATTTTTGAAGGTTTTTAAAAAAAAAAAAAATTCTTTGTTCAGTTCAATTTTTTAGTTCGGCGAATTCCATCCACCCTTTAGTTAGATTTGAATCTTCTGCCTGCACATTTAATCCAGATATAAAATAAAATTGCAAAGGCCCTGTCCTGCATAGCTACACATATAAGAGTAGAACACATTTTGTCACCTCCTTCTTTTGGGAAAAGAGAAAACAAGTAAAGAAAATGTAAGTCAAACAGGGCAGGTCTGTTCAAACAGTGTGCTCTCTCATACATTTGCTAGTGGATGTGTGCTTCTGGCATTAGGTCTATGTTGACTTGGTTTGAAATAATAAATAAAGCAGTCATATGGTTATTTTCCATTCACTTGAAATAAATGGCTGCTGTTTGATTTGATATGGGGGACTTTATCTATTGGGACTTTCTTTCCAGGGGCACCTAACTTAATGAAATTTGAAGAACTACGTAATTGCCATTAGCAAGCAGTTTGTTATGGTACAACATAAAATGAAACAGGCTCAGAAACAAGGTGAGATATAACTGCCAATACACCATTAAGAGCTTCTATATATGCTAACGGGTCATTTGTGCTTGGCCTGCCTGAGTTTTCAACTTTCTAGAAGAGACGGGAATGGAAAATTTGCTTCACAGGTAAATAAAAATATGGATGAGCAATACTGATCTAGGAACCTTCCAATAAAAAGAGCTAGTAACATTTATGCAAATGTTGCATTACGGACTAGACTTGCAATAGGAAAAAACTCTGGAAGTCTGAAGGGAGGTTGCCAGAAATCACGTTGAAACCACTGGGAAGAAATATCAGAAGTGGATGCTGTCACCGGCAGGAGAAAAAGGTAAGAAATGCATCTGCAGAAAAGAACTTTGTATACAAATAAGCTTTTAAAAAGTTCAGGTTCAGGTTTAATTTCTGTGATTTGTCTTCATCACTGACTTACTTAGTTGCATACACCTTTCTAATATACATCAACCTAGATCAACAGGATATGTAATTAAATGTGAAATATAGTAAGTATTGTACTTGAAATATTCCAGAGTGGGGAAAAACACCCTGTGTGAAGACCATATATGGAATGACTGCTTCTGTGCCTAGCGAAGCCTTATACTGTAAACTTAGTTAGCTCTCAAGAGCATGCTTTATTTTGGGTTTTGAGATTAATGAGATTTCGATACAGATAATCTTTTGATCATTCCTAAATTTGAAAAAGGATACTGAGTTTATTTATCATTCAAATCTTTTAATAGCAGCTGCCAGGTCTGCTTTATAAAGGTACCAGAGGCTTAAAATACTTCCTTGTACTGGGGGTGATATTAAGTATGCAGGGGGCATGTCTACACGTGCCTGATGGCATCATTGTTACTGTGCCACCATTTAGTACTTCCTTTTGGAAGTACTATGGCACCATAGGGGCACATGTAGACGCTCTCCCTGTGGACGGGCTGTTACTGTTACTTCCTTTTGGAAGTACTAAATGATGGCGCAGTAACAGCCCGTACTGTGCCATGTCGGCAGCACATGGTTATTTTTAGCCGCTACATTGCTGTAGCAACACACTATAACAAGGGAGCACATTGCTATGGCAACATAGCTGCTATGTCACAGTTTGTGCATGGCAATGTAGCATCATGTGTAGATGCGCCCAGGGTTTAGATTCATAGATGTTAGGGCCGGAAGGGACCTCAATAGATCATCGAGTCCGACCCCCTCATAGATTCATAGGGTTGTTTTAGCCATGATCTTTCAAGTACACTTCCTGGACTGATTTTTTGTGTTATCTTTTATTGGACCAACTCTATAGTTGGGAGAGCTGTTGGACAAGCTTTCAGGCCTCGAGTGCCCTTCCTCAGGTGACTCGGCACAATATGACCTGTGGAAAGGCACTTGTGGCCTGAAAGCTGATTCAACAGGTCTCACAGAGCTGTTGGTTCAATAAAGGATATCATAATAAAAACCTTGTCTCTCATTAAAGGCACTGTAAACCTGTTTTTTGTTTGTTTTCAAAGATGCTAGGCAGCACCAGAACTTACTGAAATTAGTTTGAAGTTGTGAGTGCTTATCACCTTGATATTCTTTTCCTTTTCTTCAATTTCAGTCTAACTGAAGCCTTATATTGTCTATGCTAGCTTTATGCTACATATATTGTATATGCTAGCATTGAACTTAGCTTGGAGACAAATTTTGACAGTTCAGCCAGGTTCAAGACATGACGTTACATCACATTAATGTGTTTGAGTTTCTTTCCTAGTGTTTTCTCCATGATTTTCCTTGCTAACTTCATAATATTTTACTCTTTAAACCACTGTCGCCTTTTACAGGCCCCTCCAACTCTTGGAGCCAGACAGTTTATCTACGTCTGAATTTGTGACATCCTGTAACAACAGATTGTGATTTTACCATCATGGGGTTCACTGTAGGGCTGAGGTGAATTGTAAGACAGAAAACTTCCTGTGAAACACATACAGGACTTTAAACATAGCCCTGGGGATTCAGAATCACTGGCTAAGTGAATAGTCTTTTGTACAAATGTTCTCTCCTTTTTTTTATGTCCCCCGTGGGTTATATAGATCACCTTTTTAGGGCTTTCTGCATCTTCCACCCTCATGAGTCAGACATTGGCTAGAAGTTGTAGCTGGTTTTATCACTAATTAACCTTGAGGCAGTCTCATTATAGGCGTTTTACAATTCCTTTACAGATCAGTAGCACGGACCTTTTTTCTACTATGCCTCTTATTTATATTGGTCAGCAGCACTTATTTTCTTAGTGCACTGACAGTATATGACAATTAACCAACTTTCTGTTTCCAGCTGCTTTTCAAGTTAGCAGGGTACTTTTCAACAGAAGGCTCTAGTCCTATTGAAACCTTGACTTAGGCCAGATAAAGATTCCATCTCTGGTGAATCTCTCTTTCTCTCCTAGCCATTTTCTACAAGCCTGTCTATTAATACCAAAACCCTGAACAAAAGACACAGAACTTTACACAATTTGGTGAACAATTCTCTTATCACTAAGGGAGTTATTAATCATTACTGAATCTTAAACAGTTAGCAAGTTGGTTTCAAGTAAGGCTCAAATGTTTGGATTCTCATTGCGAGAGGCAAGGATTCTCATTGGAAATTTAAATTATCCAGATTTTGGGGGTATTTCAGAATTGGGCAGGAGATCTTATGAGAAGAGAATTTCACATGATATTTCAAGGGCTTCCACTTGGGATAGATATATCAGGGAGGCAGTACTATGCAGGATTTGCTTTTTATTTCCACTTTTAGTCTGTGTCAGTAATTTGAAATGCATAGGCTAACAATAAAAATAATAGGGGTAGAGGTGAGAAAAGGAATTTTGGCTTTTTGGATTGGTTTCAGTGTGAATTTCAGTGATGGTTTGAAATAAATGTCTTGTTTTTATCTGAACTGCTTCAATCCCAGATTAGAGAATGTTCTCAATCACATATTAAAGAATGTTAATAAAATGCATTAGATAAATAAGCCTTATGCTCAAGATTATCATGGACTCTTGAGTCTTCTGTTGACTTTAATGGGAGTAGGATGAAGCACTAGATGGATTTTGCAGGCCATCCAGTATATGTCTCTTTATATCAAGATGGTATCAAGTTTTATAGCTGATTTGCTATCAGGAGAAACTTACCTTGTGTAACTGAATGCGATGTAAACCTTCTTCACGAGCCTTTACTAGTGGTAATATTTATTATGAGACAGCTCTGAGGCAAAAAGTGATCTCCCATAAATATGTGCAAGGTATGTTTTAATTATTTTAAACATAAGCCCCATAACTATATTCCACTTACTAAAAATATCTGCTATTACAGTTGTTCTCTCAGACTCAGGTGCTGTAAAATACAGGCACACTGAGAGATTCAGCGAAACTCATGCATTTTGTTTGGCATATTACACTGACCCCTGTCACAACTGGTTTGGAACACACTTACTATAGAGTTATACCATGTTTTACATTTCTATCTTTTCTGTTACCAGGACTTAAGCTGTACTAATGGCAAGTTTAAAAAAAATACAAGGTAATACAGCATCAATGAAGACAAAGCAATTGCACTTCAATTCCTATATGTACCTTTCCCTGCTCCTCCAAGCTGGACCTCCCAGTCAGGTAGATGGCTTTAAAAAGTTATAAATATAGGCAGGAAATAATAATATGTATTTTTGACTAGAAAAATACACACTAGTGTTTCAAAAAGTTATTAAGTATAGAGTCATTAGTCCTGAAATTCAGTGATGGTGAAAGAGACCTTGGACTTCCATTGGACAGTAAATTACAAGGTTGTTATATGCTGCCAAGGCCATAAAAGCTCTAGAAGTTTTGGGCAGTAGCTGTGATGTAAATTTATTAAGATGGTGATGCTATTCCTAGTCTTTGCAACTCTTGTGAAACTGGAGTAACTAGAATATGAGACCCAGAGTGCATTTTAAACACAATGGGCCAAATTCATTGAAGGTGTGAACTGACACAGTTGCACCATTTTCCATCTGCAGAGAATGTAACTCGTTAGCACCAACAAGATGAAGGCAATCTGATGGGAATTCAGAGGGGAGAATTCCTCTATGAGAAGAGATTTAAAGAGTAAATATGTATTTTCTGGTTAAGCAAGAACACAACAGGTGTAAGGGGAGGCGAGATGGGAAGGACTACACAACATTAATAAATTAAATGTTCATATAT